CAAGGGGAAGGATGTGTGGGAATCTCAGATCAATTATTAGGTGCAGTTGAGCAGTCAAGCAGGCACTCCTTGGGGTCTTCTCGGTTCCCCCTGCACAAGCAGATTTTCCCATCTTTCTATTAGAAAGGGAAGTGTTGTATGCTCCTGCTCCATGTTCTGCTCTTTGTCTCTGGCCTCCGAGCACCCTGCACCCCAAGAGAGCCCCATGTGTGCATGCACCTGCTTGTTGTGTTCTGGGCAGAGCATCCAACGGACCTCATTCACCAGGTACATCACAGACACATGGTCACACAGCAGCCCACCAGCAGGAGCGGTGTGCCTCACCCCTGCCCGCTTTGGGATGGGTGCTGGGGGCCTGGTGCTGGGCTCACAGGAGGCAAATGCTGGGGCCAGCAGCCTTGCCCTAGGAAAGGCACTTGGAGATTGGCAAAATCGAAGGCGATCCCTTCTCTGTCGTGTGGTGGGGAAGACGGGTTGTCGGTAGTTTGTGTCTCATTTGGAACCGGGGTGGAGGGGGAAAGCAGATGGCTTTCAGTCGCTCTGCAAGCCAGTGTCAGAGCCAAGACTAGAACACGATTCTTAAAATCCCAGGCTCCATCCTCCGTGTCCTAAAGCTTCTCTAAGCATGTGTAAGGTTTTAATGAAAAAAAAAAACTTAATTTGGAGCAGGATTCAAGAAAAATGTCCCATTCAATTACTTAATTATGGCTGAACTGTAATTATAAGACACAAACATGTCTTGCTACAAAGCACCAAGCAAAAAAAGCAGAAAGGATTATTTGTTGTTTAATTTAGCGGAGGAAGGCAGTTGATGATGCATAAGTCAGTCTGACACCTAGCAAGTTTTGTGATCCTATTTGTTAATCTTTTTAACTTTCCATTTTATTAGGATAGGGTTTCAAAAGCAAATAGGATAAATGAGATTAAATCTGCCACCCTGAATTACTCTCCTCTGAGTTACGAGCAGAATTACTCTGTGTCAAAGAAGTATAATTATGAGGAAAATGCTGCCTGTGTAATTGTGTGCTTCGTTCAGAAGAATTCGAGATCCATAATTATCTCTAGCATGCCATGGTGGCGTGTGCTGGCTCTTAATTTCTGCAGTAAACAAAACCATTGAAAGTTCCTCTCCTGGGTAGTTGCTGAAGTAGCGTGGCTGGTACCCACAGCAGTTGCAGTATTATCCCTCAGATCTCCTGGTTCATGTGAGGGATCTAAATTAACTTGAAAGAGAGCACCGATCATGCAGTTACTTTTAGAAAAGAAATGCTAGCACAGTTACCTTGAACTTAAATGTTGATCGTGCAGTGAGGTACAGCAGCCATGGGGTGCGGTGTGTTTTCTGAGCTGTAGGTAAGGCAGGTGAGGCACGTCTGGCTGCTTCTGCAGAAAGCAAGTCACAGCACATCTGGCGCTGTGTCCCACTGCTCAGCGTCTCCATGGGTATTGTCTTTGACCTCTGCAATGGAAATGATTCTGCAGGGGCTCCTGCAACACAAAGGGTGCGGCTTTCTCAGACAAAATTAAGCTGTGATGGAAAGGTCCTGGGTTAGGACTCCTGGATGTCGGTGCACATCAGAAGTGTTGGAGTTCAGTTTTTCTCTCAGAAAGATCTGGCACTGGTGTACACTGCTCTCGGCTCTACTAAATTTAGCCCTATAAAATTTGTGATAGACTTTATGCTGTGTGATTCCACGGTGAGAGGAGCTGATGACACAAAGACCACAGTCTCTTGAAATTTTGGGTTCCCCAAGCAAAGAAAGTTTTGAATCAATGTGTTGTTTGTCTGGATTCATAATACCTTCTGTTAGGAGAAGCATCTGAAAAGTTCAGCCAGATTTGTCCTCAGAGATGAGTGGTGCTGGAAGCAGATCTCCTGGAGTTCCTGGAAATAAACAGAGTAAACAGAATCTCACTGTAGGGCCTGCTCAGACATTTCTGCAGCTTCCTCTTCAAAGCAGAGAGTGAAGAGGGTCAGAAGCCAGATTTCTGCAGGATGGGTTGGTGATAAAACAACCTGCCAGACTCGGGTTAGAATTTCTGTTGCTTTGCCTAAAATTCCATGTGCTTTAAGGGAGAGGGATAAGGAGGGAGGACGCGTCACGGTTTGTGGATCCTAGTAGCAATTTTATTTTCTTTTTCAGACCCTTTTCCAGTTATGAGTCAGGACTTGATCTCAGATGTTTTTATTGGTCAGTCTAGTTTACAAATGAGGCCTTTTTTATCCCCTCTAAAATTTTATGTAATATCTGATGTTGCATAAAGATTCCGAGAGATAAAAATGGAAGGATGGTGAACAGACCTTCTGGCTAATATGTACAATGACTCAGTCTATCCTTCATTCCAACTTCCATGAAGTATTTTCAGATACACTATTTACCCATTAAATGAGCTGTTTAGTTTAGCTTATGGCTAAAGTTTTTCCTAGTATTTGATGTATTTGTTGGGAACATGACAAAGTAAATCACAAATGAGAACATTAACAAATGCTTACATTAATCATCTGAGACAGTTTCTCTCATGTAGTCTTGCTCGGAGTAAGGAGTTATCTGTAAGAAAGGGTTATCTGTAAGAAAGAGTTTCCTGTCCCTTCGTTTGCCAACTTACTTGACTTTACTGCCAAGGAAATCTCTCCTCCATGCTTGACAGGCAGTGGGTAACTTCATAATCTTTCTCTGTGTAGGCAATTTCTTCATGGGAAGAAATTAAGTCAGTCATGCCCATGCTGAATCTAATTTTACTATAATTTAAAGGGAGGAGCCTTTCCCTGGGTAGAATTTATTCTATAACTGCTTATTTCAGGATTTCTTTTCCTTTCCTCCGAAGGAGCTGGCAGGAACCATTGTTAGAGACAGGCCCACAGCTTGCTTGGCATGGTCACCACAGCATATTTTATGGCAAGAAAGGAACCGCTTTTCCTTAGCTCTCAGTCACCATCAGCTGCTTCAAGGAAAACTGAGCACTGCAGAGAGTCGGTGTCACCTTGCTGAAGGCTGAAATTCCACCTCCTGGGGACAGGAAAGGTTGCAGGGCAAGTCACAGAGCCCAGCTGTCTCCAGCCGGGTCTGTCTGAGCTAGTCCATCACCTTGCTCTGCCACAAGGCTCTCTCCTGTACCCAAGCTCCATTAGCATCTGGATGAGATCCCAAATGCAAAAGAAACAGAGATTCTGCCCTCCTCCACAGAGCTCTCAGCCCTTTCCTGTTCTCTTAGTAAGTGTTCATTTCCAGGCCCTTTCCCTGCTTGCCCCTCTAAAGGCCAGTCCCAAGAAACCCCATGCTTCTGCTCCCTCTCTGTGGGCTGTAGCAGAGCATCCATACTCAAGAGGGAAGGCTTAATTTTTCCTTCTCCCCTGATCAGCCTCAAGGTTTGGCCCCAGCCACAGACGTGTCTTGGCTCTGCAGTTCATTCACTTGGGGTAGGATTTTTCCATCTTTTACTCGCTCCAGTCCAGACTGAATGAAACACACACCAGCGAAGGTCCTTTTAAAAGCAGTTTGCAGCAATGCAATGCTAAAAGCCTAGCTGCAAAGAGGAGGAGAGCGCAAAACAATCTCTTCCTGCCTGCTCACAAAGAAATGGGAGGAGAAAATGTAGGTGCCCTTTTAATGCTGGCCACAAGAGTGTGTTTAGCGGCGTCTCTTCAAGGTCAGCAACACCATTCTCAGCTGTTGAAAGCAGCACATCGGTAGCACAAACAGTGCCAATTAGATTTGGGAAAAGGTTGGGTGTTTGTTGGTGGTTTCTTTTTTCTTTATCTCCGCAGCCTGGCAGACAACCAGATGCAACTGTACATGTAATTCAGGCAAAATGTGATCCCGAATATGTGGGCTGCTGTTTGATTTATGCGAACGGCAGCAAGGTGTTGCCGTGGTGTCTGCACAGCAGCAAAGTGGGGTCCCTGGCTGTCCAGAGCAGGAGGAAATCTAAAGAGCTGCTCAGTCAGGGGGCTTACTTTTGTCAGAGAGATTCTTTGTCCCCTATTTTTCCTTATTTATATCTGCAAGATTAATAAGATTAATTGGATTTTCCCCTCAGCAACCCTGTAGCACCAAACCTCTTTATGCAGAACAGAGAAGTAAAATTGGTCTAGTGTTAGAGATAAGCTTTGGAGAGGCTGCAAATGGCTAGTGAATAAACACTGCTTTTCAGTGGGTAAAGTTGCCTGTAGGATAAGCTTTCTTCTGTCTTGGTCCTGCCTTCCTCTGCTGGTGGGAAGTGTTCTTTGCAGCTCGATCAGTTGTCCTATAACAACAGGCCTTTCTACATTGTCTTCCCTGAGTCTCCTAGTTTTTCTCCTTTACTTTCTGTCCCTCTCAGGTACATCCGCTGGGTGTGCACCAAGCATTTCCAGTGTTTCTGAAAGGTGCTCACATGGCAGATGCCATCCCCTTTCTTTTTGGTCTTCTTAGATTCTGCTGACACCTGCAGAGCCCATGCTTGGTCTGACCAAGCCTTCTGCTGGGGAGAGGTTTTGAAGTGTTGGTTGTGAGCATTATTTAAAGTTGAAAACCACTTGGGAAGGTGCTGGGGGAAGCGAGTGTGCTTCCCTTTGTACCTGCTGGGGAGATCAATGGTTTAAGAATCCTATTCTGCTTTATGCCAGTGAGGACTGAAAATAACACCGACTGTAACAAGGCTATATACACAATAAAGAGCAATGCAACAATAGGATGCAGCTTTTACGCGGCTTTTACGCAGAGAAGCAAAGTGCCAGCTTGCAAATAAAGCAATAGGGTCGCAAAGCCCTACAAGCCACGTGAGCAATTGTTGCTTTCTGTACTATGGAATAAAGCACCTTTAGAAAGGGTGGCTGCAGCGTACTTTACATCACTGAAACTGGCTCTATTGAAATTTCTGTTGTTAAACTGCAAATTCAGCCTTCCTGAATGGCTGGTGGGGAGATGATGAGACTGCTTATCTCTGTGATGATGGTGAATGGGAAGAAACTACTTGATACAGCCCAAAGAGCCCTTACCTATAATTTTTCTCCTCCACAGGTGCCCCTGGCTGACAAAAGCCATCTCACCAGCCATCCCAGTGTACAATGGGCTCGTGTTCTTGTTTGTACTGGCAAACTTCAGCATGGCAACTTTCATGGACCCTGGAGTTTTTCCACGAGGTAAGAGAAAATGGGACTGGTGGGTGGTCCTCCTTTTTTTTTTTTTTTTTTTTCCCTCTGGTAATCTTTCTTGTTTATGTATTTTCTTATTTTTTACACTGAGCTGGCAGTAGAGTTGGGATGGTAGTGAAGTGCTGGATACCCTCATCTGAGCTGGGAGGTGTCAGTTGTCCTTGCACTTGCTCAGGCTGGCAGTTGAGGGCACAGGGCTGCATAGCATGGTTCTCCTTTGAGTAGCTCTCCTGACTGATGTGATTGCAATTGCCATCCCCTGTGTCATGCTGGCACATTGGATTTAAGTTACTGTCTTCACAATAGGAAGTTGAGCATCGTGGAAGGGAGAGGCTGAGCTTTCTGAAACAGCTTCATCAAAGCAGACCTTCCTTCCACAAAGCCTTAAAATAAATGCATAGGCATTGAATGCTAAAATAGATAATGATTAAGGCTTGCCTTAGAGCATCTAAAATGTATACGTTTAGAAAGATATGCCTGCTTAAATTAGTACTGATGCACAACTGATTAAATAGGATAAAGATCACTCAGCTCTTATAATAGGAACCACAGTGGAGCTACCTCTTTTAACACATCCTAATGAGAGAATTATCACCTCATTTTATCTGTCTTCCAATAATTATTCACATGCAGTTTGCAGCAGAGACTGCTCTAGGCAGTCTTGCTAAGCCAGTGGATCTCTGCTCTCTTCAAGCTGTTCTTACCCACCTCTACTGAGTGAATTCAATACCTGTTTTGAATTGCTATTGCACCTGACAAGAACAAGGTACCTGTCCTGCTGGCTTCTCTGAATAGTGGCTGCCAGGTTTCTCCAGGTAGCGGGGTCTAATGATGAGCATCTCTCTGTCATTCCTTTCAGCTGAAGCTTTTGAACCCCTGATCAACTGTTGCAGCACTACAGTTAAGGAAATAATTCTGTGTAAAAGCAATATTCAGTCATTTGTGCGGGATTACATGATGCAGTGTTTAGCTGCATAAAGTTACATATACGTGGTAGAGAGATTTTCCAAAGAGCTGAAACATCGAGCTTGTACTGAGATTTCCAAAAGAGCTGAAGCACACACAGCTTTTACCTAGTGTCCTGCGCTTTTCCATTCCTCCATCTCATCAGAGATAACAGTGGTTGAATATGCTGTGGCTGTGAGGTTATTGAACGCATCCATACTTTGTGCCTTCGGTAGAAGAGCTAGAACAATGTTGTTCAGTTGTGAAAGTCACAGTCCGGGAATCTAGTATCATTGTGCAATGTAGTTCCCTCAAAGTGGAGCCTGCTGCTGGGTGCTTACCGTGCTCTAAGAGTGATCAGTACTGAGCATATCGTAAATTCACACCTTCCTTTACACTCCCCTAACTTCTTGTAAATAAGCTCTTTATTTTGGCCTTTGCATTTAAGGGAGAAAGGGACAGGGAGATCAAATGGAAACTTAGAACCACTCTCATCACCTTTCTTGCCTTCCCAGTTCCCTTAATGAAATGAAGTCAGGAGCAAGCAGGAAGAGGGGAAGTTTCCTACAGTTTGCCTTTCTTCCATCCTTTTCTCTTCATTTGTGGTGTTGGTCATTTCTCTCTATGCAGTGTATATTTGTACTTGATCTGGAAGAAGTTGGGAATGAGGGAAGTGGGGAAAAGGCAGGAAAGGAATGGGAGTCATCCTTAAAGAAAGTGATGAAGTAAGAGTGTAAATGTGTGAAGGAAGCAATCTGATAAGGAAAAGATGGAAAAGACTATAAATACTAGAGCTGGGAAGAAAGGGGAGCAGATGTTATTTCAGATCACAAGTGTACATGCTAAAAAAGCTATCACCACCCCACGCCACCCGCAGAGCTGCCAACCCAAAGAATTCAGAAATTGTAGGAGTGATTTAAAATGAATATACAATGGATCTTTTTGCTTTCTGCTCTTGAAATTACAGATCTAATCTTAATTTTCAAGCTTTTGAGCACATTTCTGATAGTTACAAATTTACTTCAAAAACAAAACAAGAAAAAAGCAATACAAAAGCAGAGAGTCTTATGAAATCACATGATGCCTTTAAGAAAGCTGCGAAAAATCATAAGATATGTTATATAAACAGGAGATTTGGCTGCCTTGTGTCGGTGGATAAGAGTACGAGAGTCTATGTAGTAAGATAGTGTCTTCTACCAATGTATTCTTCTGCTCAGATGACTGAAGGCTGGTGATAAAGACATATCTAGCTGTATCATATGAGCTTACAGGTTCTCTGCAAAGAGTATTTGGGGCATAGATGGGAAGTAACCCAGCTTTTTTTTTTTTGTATTGTTGAAAAGGGCCTGAATTAAACTCCCAGTTCCATCACTCCTTTTTTGAATCATTTTTTAATTTGCTGTCTCTCTGAATGATCCTGTTATGAATCAGGATTGGCTCTGTGCATATGAGTTGCCAGTAACACACTAAAATGAATGAAAAGAAAGGGAAGTATTAAGTCACTGAAATTGGGGCCTCCCTGACAAATCTGATTTACAGTCTAGATTGATAATGGCTATGTGTGTTTCTGACTAATTATAGATACCAACCATGAACTGTCTTCCAGTGTGTGTCAATTCTGCTAGTCCAATGTATTTATGCAGGTATACACCTGTATAGGTATATGGGTGTATTTGTAGATACATACAATGTACAGACTTTTTGTCTGCATAGTAAGTATTTTTACAAGAACTTAAATGGTTTGACCATTCTAGTGTCTTGTTTTTGTATCCCCACAATTGTATTTTGCAGCATGGACCACTTTGTTGTAGTATTGAAGAACCCACAGACTGTATTTATAGAAGTGCCCTAAGGGATTTAGAGTCCAGCTCCCACTAAGAGTCCCACTGGTTAGTTATGAAGGAAAATTATAGGGAACGGTGCCAATATGGCAGTCTGCTTCCATGCACAAACATTAACCCAGAGAATATTCTTGCAAGGTAAATATTGTAGCTGAGTCAAATCCCAAGCTCATCTGAGTGAAGGGAGAAACTCCTCCTGAAGTCAATGGAAATTGGATCCTTTTAGTAAGGATAACACATCTAGAGAAGATTTAATATAGAACTACATGGCAGTTATTGATGCCCCACTGGGACAATATTGTCAAATTTTGTCTAATTTGGAGCCAGTCAACCAATGCCAGCTGCACTGCAATGTTTAACCAGGTGTTAAATAGATGTGAACTAGTTACATATTCTCTGTCAAAAGGAAACAAATAAAGATTGCAGGTATCTAGAATAAAAGATGAACTTCCATGTACATCATTCTCATTTTTCCTTTTCTTCCCAATATATATTTGTCCATTCTAGACTGGCTTTTATTTTTTGAATTTATTTTTAAATGGTCTGTTTTCTCAACAGGGCAGCGCTCAGTGGAGATGATCACCCATCATCCAGGGGGTTGTCCATAATAACATAACTCTGCCATGTTGTCATTCCAATCTTACTAATGGCAAAAAGAGGTTAAATAAATAGCCCAAGGCTACAGAGTGAGAAAATTAGGATATAGGACTTCCTGACTTCCAGTCCTTTGCTCAGGTCACTAGACCATACTGCCTTTGAGGGAGGTGAGATCTTGCTGGTTATATACTGCCACTAAAGTAAGAGTATTCAAGGCATGCTCTGAAGAAGAGAGCACAGGGTGTGCTATAAGGAAACAGACACTGGTGCAGGGCTCATTGCAGGCACACACATTTCTTTTCACTGTGGCTCACTGGAGCAACTGGTTTTTGGGATGGTGATGGGCTGACACTAGAGTGTTTGACAAAACACCACATCTGGGTTGATTCGGGGTTTTGAGCTAGCACAACCTTCTGTTAATAACCGTCTTTTAATATCAGTTGATGTAATTTCTTTTGTTCTATATGCTGGTAGACTAGCATTGAATTAATCCTGAATACATGCAGCAGAACTTCTTGCAGCAAAGGTTTGGGTGATTCCTGGATTTCCATCACCTCTTTGACTCTCATCTTGTTCATTCCGGCTGTAACTGCTGGCTAAGATAAGACTCACACACTTCTCTTTGTCCAGGATTTGGACTGGCTGCCTGGCGTTCCCATGGGAGCGTTGCCTCAGGTGCTGAAATAAGCCCAGATCACTGAAGTGTTCTGCAGCCAGGACAACCTGTTCTGACAGTCCATCACTTCCACAGCTCTCTGTTTCTCTGACAAGCCCAAGAGCACATGCAGTGCCCCTATATCCAAGGCACTGACTGGATTAGATCTTTCATCTTTACCCGCTGTTATTTCTACTAACTTTTAGTTTTGTATTGAGCAGCAGATGAAGATGAAGATAAAGATGATGACTTCCGAGCTCCACTCTACAAGAACGTGGAGATTAAAGGAATCCAAGTACGGATGAAATGGTGTGCCACCTGCCACTTCTACCGTCCTCCACGCTGCTCTCACTGCAGCGTCTGTGACAACTGTGTTGAGGTAACCATTCTGTTGGTTGTGTTGGCTATGCCTCAGTGATGGGGCTGCATGTACTACTGGAAATGTGTAGATGGGTACCTCCCCCAGTATCAATTTTTGGAAGTTCCCAGCTCTAGCCTTGCTGATGGTTTCCTACCAATTGGTATCATTTGAAACATAGCCTTCAGTTACAATGTATGTTACATATGCAGTAGTGCTTGATGTCAGCTTTGTTGCCAGTGATAATTAGGTTAAAAGTTTATAATCCTCCAGTATCTTCCTGGAGGTAGTATAGAAATCATGAATGTTAAAAGGGGTGAATGGGAGAGTTCATGCAGAGGCAGAGTTCAAGAGAGCAGAAAATCCAGGGCGAACTGTTCTAGCTTGTCTGCTTGCCCACTAAAGTAGGCACCAGTTTGTTCCAAATTAAATCATGAACCCTAAGCTAACTGGGTGCACATGAACTTCAGGAAGACCAAACTCAGAATCCAGTGAGTAGGTCTCCAGTCAATCATAGGGCTGTATGTTTGTTTCAACACCCCTGCTCATGCCATGAACTAAGTCATGTTGGTCCCTCTGAATTATGGGCCTTTCATGTTTCGTGGTAGCCCTGAAGTCTTGGTGAAGCACACAGGATTGAAAAAAAAAAAATCCCAAACAATAAGGTGTGCGTTTGGGTGTCTCCTTGGGATGTCTCCTAAACTTCTAAGTACAGAGTGTATTGCCAGGGGGAATTTTTTTATTTCTGAGCTAAAAATTCCACTTGTTAAGGATACTTCTGCTGCAAGTTTTGTTGTTGTTGTTTTTTCAATAGAAAGATGAATTTTTTAATATGTCTAAAATATATTCAGCTGTGCCATTAAAATGAAAGAAATTGCTAATCAGAAAGGCAAAAAATACCATTGTCAGCTGGAATGCTGTATACACCATCTTTGTACTAATCCTTTTTGCCAAAAGCAAGGGAATAGTCCCAAAGAAAGCAGCACAGCTACTTGTCTGAGAAAAGCTGACTGGGTTTATCTCGTGTCAGTTATTTTCTCCTCCAGGGCAACATATATCTAAGTTATAATTAGCTGGAAGCAGCACTGTGCCTACTAACCATCTATAGATAGGACAAGTCTGTTCTATTGTGGAAGGCCTTAGAAAAATGCTGTGTCTGAGAAGATGGAGAGTCGGGAGCTACAGAAGTCCCTGGGTGGAAGGAAATAGCCACAAACTATTCATTGTCACACAATTTCATTAGACTGCTGTGAATTGTTAAATAGAGCTAGATTTTTCATAGAAAACCTGACTCATATATTCCTAAGTTTTAAAACATACGTGTTTTCACTAATTCTAGATTCCAAGGATTGTTTAGGTGATGATAAATTCTGTTGTCCCATGGAATTTCTTCCTTCTGCCCTCCCTAGTGGCTCAGCATGAAAATCCATTTTCAACTAATGAAGTTTTCTCAGAAAAAAACGATTGCCTAGAACTCACTGGTATAAACACGTACAATTTCATTGCTGCCATAGGGCCTCCAGGGGAGTCAGTTCTGCAGCAGAAATGAAAATGGGAGAGATTCCAAAAGTAACCTAAATAAAATAGCAGAACACAAGGTGACTTTTCCTAGCTCTCAAGAAGCTTTATGATGGTCAGATTAGTTCAATGTGTCTTACTGTTCTGGTGGGCAAGAAAGAAACTCTGATTGTATAATTAAATTGTGACTGCTGTGAATGAATACAGGCAGAAAGCATTAATGACTTCTGAATTAAGAAAAAGTGATCTTAAACACTGTCATGTATTGATTCTTGTGATCTTAATTTCCCACTCACCTGTCTATTCTAGAAGAGCTTGAGGACAGTGGTAAGAGGGACTGTGCTGGCTTTTCCATGTGGGACCCATTCAGGGTTATAATTGACATCTTTTCACTTTCAGTCTAGAATGTGCTATGGAAGCTCACAGCCCAAATATACAACTTTTGAGCCAACGTGATAAAAATAAGCTAACAACAAAAAATGGCAACATTTGCAGAAATAAAATCAGTTAAAACCTAAAGCCCGCTGTGACCAGATGGACTCCAAAATGAATTCATGATGAAAGTAGTCAGATTTCTGTTTTCTTTACTGAAGTGTTCACAGTGGGTATTCATATAGTTTCATAATCTGTAGATATTTTAGGCAGTATACAACAAGATTCACAGCATAGACACATGCTATGTCAGCATTGTAGCCTGAAATGATCTTCATTAAATTGCCTCTGTCATTTTCTAATGTGCTTTGAGAAAGTTCTAAGCCATTTATTGTATATTGTAAATTTTTGGTAAATATATTATACAGACTTTAAAAATATAAAAATTGCTTTGTCATCACTGGAGAATTTTTAAAGATAGCATTACCACAAAACAAAGAACAAACAATTAATGTATTGATGTAATTGGTGTGTAGTATCTGCTCTGAACAACCCTGAAATAGGAAGGGCTTATTTCTCTGCACATGATCTTTCTGTGCACACCTAGAATAATCGCATTGAAGGCAGTGGATTTACATGGTTATAAAACGGTGTAAAGGCTCTTGAAAGGTGTCTGTGGGTTGACTTCATTATAAATCTGTTAAAAGGGATGTGACTTCATAAGGTACTTTGAACTTCTGATGGGGACAACTGGCTAGTTTGGGGTTCATAGCTATCAGTCAAGTTGTCCAGAACCTTGCTTGTGTCTTAGCCAGATATTGCTTAGTTTGGGGGATCTGCTTGGTAAAAGAAAAAAAAAAAAGTATTTTTTTCATGAGGCCCTCTATTATTTAAGTAGATTCATTCAGCTTACATATAAATACAGAAATGTGGGAAGCCAGTATGGCATCTTCAAAATATTATAGGTTATGATAACTTTATTTTAACTGACTCCTTGTGCTAAGGATGACCAAAAAAAAAATCAGTGCTTCTGCTGCCAGCATATAAATAGCCTGTTTTTTATTGCTTTATATTCTCTCTTTGAATTCTATAACCTCTCAAGTAACTCTCTCCATTCATAAATATAGAAACCACTTGGTCCTTATAAAGATTGTGTTTGTGAAGCTGCAGAACTAGCCTGCTGTGTTTTTACATGACAATGGTTTAGATATCTCTAAGAAAATGTATTTCCTTTCACTGTATGGATATTGTTCCCTGTCTCTCCCTTTCTTTACAAGGATTTTGACCATCACTGCCCGTGGGTCAACAATTGCATAGGACGGAGGAACTACCGCTATTTTTTTCTCTTCTTGCTGTCCTTAAGTACGCACATGGTTGGAGTATTCACCTTTGGGCTGATCTTCGTATTAAACCATATGGAAAAGCTTGGAGCAGCTCACACCACCATTACGTATCCTTCTTCTTGGTTTTTGAAGACACAAGATGACCTTGAGGAAAATGTGAGAGTTGATATAAAGACTTGTGTTCCTGGAACTGGTGCAGATTTACTCCTCTCCTGATTTGCATTGCTGTTCCCCTGTAAATGCCTTGCACAATTTTTCCTCTGTACCCATCTGACCTATGTAACCATTGATTACCCCCAAAACTTTAGCCAACCTTTTGTCTGTCTGGTTTGCCAGGGCAAACCAGAAAAAAGATACAATGCCTCCCTGTATTTACTTCCAGCTGGTGTGAGTCTGCACTGCTGGGTACTGCTTACTGTATTTAAAACAGATAATACAGTAGAATTTGCCCTGGAGGCAGTTCCACTTTGTGCTAGTGTAATACACGAACCCCTGTCTCTGAGAGGTGTTACTCACACTGATAGTGCAGGGCAGAATAATCTTTACAAGACGGTTTGAGCAGGAATCAATAAGTTCACTTTATTTTTGAACCATCTCAAGGATAAGGACCCTGTCTAGGAACAGATAGACTTAAGATAAAATTTAATTAGCCTAACTAGGGGTGAGGAACATGCTCCCTATTTCCAAGATTTTTTCTCTTTTTCCTCTCCCTGTTTTTCATGACCTCTTTTTCCCTTCACTCACTCCAGTTTCTTTAACTCCTGGATACAGAATGGCTGTCATGTGTGTGGCTGGATTATTCTTTATTCCAGTCATTGGTCTCACTGGTTTTCATATTGTTCTAGTGGCCCGAGGGCGCACAACCAATGAACAGGTAAGAAACAGACCTTTCTCTGTGTTTGTTGCTAAAATGTTGGTTTGGGAAGGAAGGTCAGCTTGGTTAAACAAAAAAATAAAAATAAATAAATAAATAAATAGACCCATATCTTAACAGTAACACTTTTATTGGAACTTTTATGGGAAGCTAACTTTATGACTCAGACTGAACAAATCATGAGACTGAATAAAAGAAAGAAAGGAAAAGATTAAATCATATTTTTGCCCTGTCTCCTGGTATTTTGAACTCCCCCAGCAAACCCACAGTGCACATAACAAGGCCTGAGCTAGCTCTTTGTCTCACTCTCTTTGTCTCTCTTGTTCTTGTGTATGCACACACACATGCACAGAGGCCAGTGGACCTCACTTGTTTTCCTTCTCCAAATAAAGTGCCAGCACAGCATCTTGTGCCAAAAAGCCTGTGAAACTTCAGTTCCCTTGCAGTTACTCACATGTATATAATACACAGCCGCTATGTGGGTGATCCAGACCTATACGCATGCACATGTGAATAGCATGAAACAGATGACAGAGATCTAGTCATGGGATTGATAACATGTCCCTGCCACTTGTAAGGGGTAGCTCAGTTACAAAGCGTGACGCTGGGGCATGCAGCGTGCCAGTAAGCTGCACACAGTCCTGTCAGCTTTCTGCCCAAGGCTGATCAATTGTGGATATCCCAATGCTTTACCCTTTACAGCTCCAAAGTTGTGCTCATACACCTGTTTTTTTGTTGTTGTTGGATTTTGGTTGGTTGGTTGCTTTTTTTTGTTTGTTTGTTTTTTTTGGTTGGTTGATTAATGTTTCTCGCCACCACCACCTCCTCCTCACAATTTTCACTGTTTTTGCACGTGTTTATGCTGCTTTTGCATCTATGGACTCTCTAGCCCGTGTAGAGTAGCGTGCTGTTCTGGCTCTTGCAGGTTGATGGCCTAGTACTTATGTAGCTTGTATAGCTGCTGCGCAGGCTGTAAGAGTTGAAGACATCTGCCTGAGTCTAGGCCTTTGTAAACTGAGATGAGGTTGTCTCCTATCCCACAATAGACAATAAAACCTTTTATCCATGAATAGTGTGAGAAGTTCACATAAGCAAAGATCTGAAGTCATCCTGAATTGTTGCCTAACATGGCCTTTGAACAAAGCAGGCTTACTGTAGCTGTAAATCTTTAAATGCTTTTCTCTGCCCATCTTAGTCTTTCTTGGAGTCAGCTGCTCTTCATTCTAAAATTGATTCTGGCCAAGTATTAAGTTTGATAGTGCTAACAACAGTGGCATGAAACCCAGGGCATTTTAGTCTTCTAGCCCAAATCATGTTGTTTTAGGCTTATATCTGTGCAGGAATTAAAATTGTCCCTGAAAATTCTAGGCTGAGAAGGAAGGAGAAATTTAATTAAATAAATATATATATATATAATTCTTGTATTTCTGGCTACACTGACATTTAGATAGGTTGAGAATTTTGCATTTAACTAGATTGAAATAACTATTGGAAAAAGCATCCTATCCAGCTTTGGTTTCCTGAGCTACCAAACCACTAGAGATTAACTCATCTTCTTGTGCCATTTTCTGAAAATCAAATATAATGTTGTCTTAATTTCTGCCTAGTCATGTGTACTGCATAGCTGGAACTGGAGGGTGGTTGTTCCCAGCCTTCAGGTGCCTTTCACAGGAGGCATATCTAAGTCATTAGGACACCAAACCAGGAGCAATAGATAAGAGATTTGCTTTGCCATTGCTTTAAAACATTCACTTTTCTCCTGCAGTCTTAGTATTGATTCTGTTTTCTCAGACTGTTAGTTATCTGCTGTCAGGTCCCCAGTTAATATATGCTCACCTACACTTGTCCTCTTTTCTGATTACATTTTATAGGCCAGTGGTGCAGACATTGTGGTGTTCTAGTGTACGTTTTTGGTATTTATTCCTTTTGCGGTTTGTAGGTTTTGAGCATTCATAGTAGACAGACTGTGACTTACGAGTGCATAGTGGCTGAATTTAGATTCTTGTGAGCTTTCTGAATGCCTCTGAAAGTCTTTAATGGAATCAAAACAACCAACATCTGCTCGTAGCCTGGTATTTTTAGTTTCTGAACAGTTAATAACTACCCTTTCTTCTGAGACTGCTTTCTCTCTGTATCTCAAACTACTTTAGAAACCAAATTGATATAATTAGTAATGTAATCTGTGAGTTAGAGAAATTTTATTTCCATGTTGTGTTTGAGAAACTGGACAGAGAGAGATGAAGTTGCCTTGCCAGCATCTGGCAGCAAGTCAGCTTAAGCCCAGGAATGAATGTAGATCTGCCAAATGTCCCAGGTCCATGCTTTAGTCATCATGTTACTCTTCCAGCACTCAGAACTTCCAACATTTCTCTCTTGGCCTTTTAAAGAGTTTTATGGAATATCAAAGAGGCCAGCATAATATACTGCAAAATCATTTAATCGTTGGTATTTTATGTGCAAGTAATTAAAGTATTTCTGGTACTCTTTAAACTTGGTGCTAGATCAGGACTATGAGTTGATTAAAATGCATTACTTGCAAAAAGCAAGAGTAATGCTTTTAACGGCAACCACTATTAATCTCTCTGGCTTTATTGGTATTTATCCCCATATGGTTACTTTCAAGTATCTGCCCGTTGAGTACATACCCTTTATAATGCTTGTGAAGCTTTGAATATATCCTGCCAGTCTAATGAGATTTGACTTTTATTAAAGTAGCTAATTTCCAAGCAAGCATTGTAATCACCAGGGACTTCCTGGCACCCTCCCACATAAGGCAGTGGTTCATACTGATTGCTGCTAGGGATAGGATGCTGTTTTAGGGGAAACATTGATCTCATCCATCATGGAAAATGAAGAATTGACACTTCTTTTGTTTGGAGGGGACTTGCCAGGGTAGAGGAGTGGAGGTGACCAGGGAAGGAAAGGGACAAAAACATGAAGTCAGGCTGACAGCAGGCACAACTCATGTAGAAACAGCATTGGGAGGTGAACCTGACAGCTTGGATATATACTGTGCTCGCAGTGTTTTGGGAAAGGGATCTTTTGTTGGTGTGCATGCTGGCTAGAAGTGGCCATTGCAGGTGGTGTGTTACAGAAGGAGGGAAAAGGAGCAACATTCAAAGTAAAATGGTCTGTTTGGGAAGGACACTAGTGTTAGAACAAGGTATACTGGTCCCTGGCATTCTGAGGGCTGGATGATGAGTATTATTTAACAAGAAGTTTGAGCTCTGTCCTGAATATGTTTCCAGGTGACAGGTAAATTTCGAGGAGGAGTGAATCCTTTTACCCGAGGATGCTGTGGAAATGTGGAACATGTGCTCTGCAGCCCTTTGGCTCCCAGGTAAGAGAAATGCTCTCAACTGGGAATAAGTGAGATGGATGAGTTGTTGGGACAAAGGGAAAAAGTATGCATTGTTGGGCTCACAAGTGAAAGACAATTAATGAAATAAAAGGGAAGTAAAGTAAAACTCTCCAGAAGTCTCTGCGGTAGCTGCTTCACTGTTGCATGGCTGTAACCTATCAAAGCAGTTGCTTTCTTCATGTAATTCTTAATCCTCATCCCAGAAATTACTTGGAATGAGCAAATCAGATTATATTAAGAGCTGATAGCTTTGTCTCACCAACTTGTTCATCCAGTGAATTTCAGTAACAAATTTCAGTATGTTAATCTTATTTCCAAAATGACTTTTTGCATTGTCCGAGTATAGGTGAGGAATTCTAGTCCACTAGAAAGAAAGAACGATTCTAAAATTGGTCTTTCCCCTTGAGACTTGAATCTAATTTAAGGCAGCTGTGGTTTTCAATCTCACTGGCACTTTCATTATCATAAAACAGATTTTCAACCAGGTCTACATTATGGAACTTAGCATTTTATTTATGGCTTTCTATTTTTGAGGAAATAGATTTATCCCTTCACATCCTGAAATCAAGATTTTAATGCAATAGATAGATGGAGTATAAATATCCTAGATGCTGAGCTTTCCAGTCTGTATACACGTTAATTACAAGAAGACTTAATTGAGCTTTTTCAGGGTGCTGAGAAATCCCAGGCACCACTACCACTATGTGTCTTTTTAATTTATTTTATTTTGCTGTGCAACGGATAAGTTCTAAATGTCTGTTACTTGTATTAAAGTGAAGACACTGCTTCTCAAACTTACCAAAACTTAAAAATCGGGTCAAGATATTTTAAGAGAGCTTGATATTACAAGTTGGGATATACTCAAGTTAAGAGAGGTGTGGGCGTAATGTCATCATTGCTATTCTCAGACTTCTAGAAAGCAGTATTTTTCTGTTTTGTGAAGACCTGTTCAAATTGTCCTGTATATTGTGAGTCACTGAGCCATCATTACCAGGATGTCCTGTTCACTAGATAAAACAGAGAAAGCCTGTGTGTGTATTTTGGTAGTTGTGCATGGTACAACCACTGCTGAACTGCACTCAGAATTATAGTCCACGGGAAATAAATTAACTGTCTAACATCAGCCATTTCCCTTCAGATTTGTTGCTTGCTATAGGCCTGTCTGTTTCTTTTTCCTCCATTTATTTGAACACTCTAAACATGCTACAGAAACAAGTCACTATGTGGTAAGCTAGAACTGACAACACATCATCTTCTCCATGTTAATTCCCCATGTGCTGGGTCTTATTCCCCCAGTCTCCACCTTCCACCGCAGGGAAGCTGTTTCATGTTAACTAGGTAAGCTCTAGTAAATCAATTCCATTGGTGGTAGGCCTCTCTTTCTGTCTTCACATGAACTGTGCAACTGTGTTCTTGTCCGTCAGTGCTTCAAAATTTGCTTTTCTCTTTTGTTTTTAATGCATCCTCTCCTTTTGCTCACTAAAAACCTTTTTTATTGCTTTTTAATTATTACCTGGGCTGACATCCATTGAAATAAATGGAGCTTGCTTATGTAGATTCTACCACATCCTTAAATCACACCCTGGAAGTAGGAAGATTTTCTTGTCTCTATGCCTAGTTGTTAGGTTGTAGTTTACTTTAATGATGACTGTTGAACAATTAATCAGGTATATAGTCGAGCCCAAGAAGAAGCAAGCTGTGAGCGTGAAGCCTCCATTCCTCAGACCTGATTTATCTGAACGACAAATCACAGTGAAGATCAGTGACAATGGGATCCAAGCCAACCTTAACCGGAGCAAGGTAAGGTAGCCTTCAAGCACTTCTTTTGAAGAGCATTTCTTAAATGTTATCAAGCCTGGAAATAACTTTATCATTGAAAATCTTCTTGAGATAATGCATCTCTTGGAGAAACAGGCAGAGATTGAGTCCTTGTCTTACGCTTTATCTTCTGAAAGTAACACAGATTTGATAACTGGAGCCTTTGATCCAGCAACAGCCCTCTGGGCATCTTTTGGAAGAGGCTGTTGTTCTCTGCAATAGTTAATTACTTTATGTCCCAAGACTTGGCACCTCCTGGTGTTCAAATTAATTTTAACTAACTTGCTGTGTTGTGGGAACCAGGTCAGTTGTTCTACTTTGAGGAAAGTCACAAGCTTCCAGACTGCAGGAAGGTTTGTGTCCAGTGAAGAATACTGTGTCAGAAGTTGAGTTCTCCACTCTCCTCTTGTTTGTTAATTTTTTCCTGACATGAAATCTAAATAAGGATTATAAAAAAGTAGTGGATTCATTAGAAGCCACTTTGTAAGATTTTTGTGGTAGACAGTTACTTGCTGAGAGCTACCTGGAAAGTTGCTGGAAAATGCTAGAAAACACAACTGTATTCTACCACATATTAACTAACAACCAGATTTTAGTGAAAGGTGTCCCTGCCCGTGGCAGCGTGATTGGAATTAGATGATCTTTAAGGTCCTTTCGAGTCCAAACCATTCTATAATTCTGTGATAACTACATAATTCTATGATTACTGTGATGGTAATGTTATTTAGCGTGCCAAGTAGACTAAGATAATGCATTTAAAATTATACTGGCTTGTGATGACAGTGCTAATTTCATATATGACAGCTCTTGTCCGCAGTGAATGCTCAATTATATTTGTTGTTACAGGTAGTTCTCATTCTCTGGTAACTCCAGCACTCTGACACATGCTGTTATCTAACCAAGTTGCGGTAACGATTGATTCTTTGGTCATTTTCAGTCTAAAATTAGCCTGGAAGGTCTGGAGGATAAAAGTATGGATGTGCAGCCACCTCTCCCACCCAAAGGAGATCAAAGCAAGTACTCTGAGCTAAAAGGGCAGCTGGGAACCTGCGAAGGTTAGTTGCATGATCCGAGTTTTATTTCTAATAATATGAAAACATTTTAGCCTCTTTAAAAGGTTTCTGGTATTCTCTCAAAACAGTAATGGGATCTGGGTGAAGGGTTTTATTTTTACAAGAGTTCTGAGCCAGAGGAATAAACAGCAGGAAGGAGGAAGAAAAGTTGACCTGAAGTGGCTCATTCAAGCCTAGGCTGGATATTTCTTTTCATTTTGGAGAGTTTTTAAACCCTTTTAAACTCATTAATTTTTCAATCAGTTTTAAAATGAAAAATCTCATTTTGAAATAAGGAATCAGATGAAATGCTTAGACATTGCAAACAATTATTCCATTTATGAAAAGATTAATTTAAAGCTCTGAGACTATTAAGAAATAATTTAATGATTTAATAAAAAATAATTTAAGAAATCTTTTTTTTTTGGACAGAACTATTTGTTGAATTCAACCCAAATAACCAGTAATTTGAAATATGGCAAAATTACTACTCACCAAAATATGTCATTTCACATTAATGTATTATATTTTCTTCTTCTCTTTAGATTGTTGATCTGGCCACAGGCACTGTTATTTCCTCATGGGGCCTTGTTGATTTTGGTGGAATTATACACAAAATACTGCAAGTCCTGTTCTTTCCAGCACAGAGCTCAGTTTGCAGAGGACCATGGATAACAAGCACTCAGGGATCATAGTATGCTGTCCATACATTCTAACACTAAGTTGTTTGTTGCTTTTCTTCTTCTCCAGAAGGTGGCCTTTCACCCAAATTGATCAGCCCTCCTACACCTGCCATGTACAAGTATCGTCCAGCTTTCAGCAACAATCCCAAAGTCCACTACCATGCTGCAGCTGAGCAGGTGAGTGAACTGCAGTAGCCTGGGAGAATCTGTTCCCAATTAATACCAGACAACTTGGAGCTGAGGAAAAATTTACCCCAGGGCTGTTGTGAATGTCAAAGCGTAAATACAAATAACAACATTAGGCATTGGTGTGTGATAGTGTAGATTTTCATTATGCTTCTTTTGAAAACATGTCTGCTTTTGCATCATTCCTTTGTTGAGCTTGACACATGTGCCCTGCTGCCAAGGGTGCATGGCTGCTTGGCCAGTGTCTCAGGCCTGATCCTGAGATGCTGAGAAGTGTCACCTCCCATTGGCTTCTCCTGACATAGATGCCAGTTCCCATTTGCTTCAGTGGAAGCTGGGCATGCTTAGCGCTTTTCTGCATCACATCCTTTAGACGACAGACAACATTCTCAGTGATTCCTTAGCATGTCAGCTGGCAAAACATAAAAAACATGTAAGCTTCCCAAGAGATATTTTAGTTAAATTAATGGGAAATTATTTATGTTTGACCTGTTTTAGCACCTTGTGAGAGCATTTGGATTATATATTGGAGGAAAAAAACTTCCAGCACTTCACTTCTTTTCTTCCTATCAAGAAAACCGAGGTTCAGACCGTTAGAGAGCCTTTTCCTTGGCATGAATGTTGCCTGTTTTCTCTTTGTCTTAGAAACTTTGAAACAGTTCACAGTGTTTTCTTTGGAAGAACAGTACAAAACTAAACTCATTGCTAATAGGCTTGTTTTTTTCACTTATTTCTCATGAACACGTTGCAAGGTCCCCCTCCAGGACCAGAGAAGAGTAGTTTGAAAATCACTGATACAGCTTTCACTATGCATCCAAATCTTTATATACCAGTGAAGATACTCTAAGCACACACAAACGCAATATAGATCCAGGATAGGTTCTGATTAAGTCAGGAGACTGGGTGGTGTTATGAATTGAGAACAGAGTACAGCGTCTTCACTCTGAGGGTTGCTGTTTCAATCTCAGCCTAAAAAGGTGCTGTTACTAGAGGCTGACTGGTGTACATTCAAAGAGCTTTGTAGAATTGTACAATTTTCAAGTAGTCACAACTTTCTTAGTCAAGTGGGAATATCATAAAAATGAGTTCACTTGGCAATCTGAGAGGATTACATGTATTCGTGTGCCAAGCCATATCTAAGTATAACGTGCAGAGAGAAAGAGAGTAGTTTGTGTGAGGAATATCATGTTGTCTCTTCTCTATCAGTTCTTCAGCCTGTCAATGTAACTCTGCTTTTGAGCAGTAAAAGCTGTTAGGAAAGGGGGATCGGATCACAAGGATAAGTAGCACAAATACACTTACAAGCTACGTCATTTCTTTTTCCTCCTCCTTTATAGGCTGTCACTTGGTCTCCTTTTTCCAGAGAAGGCCAAATTTAGCATCATGCTCTAGAATACAGTCAGCTGTTTTACGTATTTCCCTATCTTCTAGGTTAAAGACCAAAAAATTAAGAAAAATTTGGAATAGAACAGATTTTTGCTAGTTATGCTATTTTGTTAATTTGCCTTGAAAAAAAATAGATAAAGAAGAAAGTGCACTGTATGCATTTCTGCTTAAATACGTGGCTGATAGTCATTCTCTGTAGAGACAGTGTGGCCAATTTATTATGCATTATGGCAAACTTAAAGAAGTTTGCCTTAAAGAAGAAGCAACAGTTATTTGCTTAGCACAGAATGGCCTTTTAAGTGAACAGAACTGCAAGCAGTCTTTCACGGAGTGAAAACAAAGGGAAGTTTTATCTGTTTCGAATGCAAGTAAATAAATTATGGCCTATGTTTCCTTCTCTGAGGTTGCTAATCTCTCCTATGCAGGCAGTAAAAAAGAGAAGATTGCTTCATTTTGTTGTCTAAATCATGGGAAGGAGCCTTTCTGCTTTAATTAATCTCAGATGCTTAATTTTGAAGACCTATGACCTGAAATTCAGAATTATTGAACATCATAGCTCTGAGTAAAGTGGTTAAGAGTGTGCTGGTCCCCAGTGTGTTGAAATGAAACCTAAGATATGACTGACTCAGCACTCAAAAGCAGACATCCCTCAACTCACAAGCTATTTCTAGAAAAGTTGAAGCAAAGTGCTTTTCCAAGGGCAGTATTATCTGATTACAATCTGATTTACCTTAACAGAGTTCAGTTTAGAAGTTCTCTCATTGTGCCTATGTATTGATTTACTTATTAGTCAATATTATTTAACGCTTACTATGACTGACTCCTTGCTTCTGAGGTGCTTATCCATATGCTGAGCAGGACTTAGGAGATTCCATATAATGAACCTTTGTCATAGCTAGGCTACATGTCTGTGAGAAGACATCCGTGGTTTTTTTTTGTCCTGTGCACTCCCATGGAGAGTAAACCTGTACATATGCATTATAGCCTTCTGTTTCTCATACTCACCTCTATTTTAGATCACCATGCAGGAGGGACACAGTCAAGGGGCTCTGATTGAAGAGGATGGCGGGAGCCTTGACTACCAGTCTGAACCAAGCCTGGACATCCCCAGCTACCGAAAGAGCTCCCTTCACAAGACCTATCAGTCTTCCCCACTCCAGATAGATTCCTTTGCCATCAATTCACGATCCCTGAGCCTGAAGTCTGCTGGCAGGAGAGGGACAGACAAAGTGCCCCTTCATCCAATAAAGTCTGAAGGGGCGACTTCCACCCCTTACAAAAGCATCTTTTCTCCCAATTCTCTGTCAAACAGAAATGGGAGTCTTTCATATGACAGTTTGCTAAACCCCATGTCGCCCTCGGGGAGGAAGTGCATTGCCCATTCTGCAGTCAGCTCTGTCGGGTACCACTCACCATATTTATCAGCCAAAATGTGCCATCTCCGGGGGAGTGAGCTGCAACGCCAGCCACCTCAGAGCTTCAGCCCAGTGCTGGGGGGCCCAGCTCCACATCAGCGAGACCCCTCTCCAGTCCGCTATGACAACCTTTCCAAAACCATTATGGCATCCATCCAGGAGAGGAAGGAGATGGAAGAGAGGGAGAAGCTCCTCCACTCACACCCTGATTCAGTGTTTGCAGACTCAGGTGTCTATGACACCCCTAGCTCTTACAGCCTTCAGCAAGTCAGCACGCTCTCTGAAGACCCACGCAGCATGGCGATGAGGTATGGATCTAGAGACAATCTGATGGCTGCTACCAGTTTTAGCACAAGGAACCCTATACTGCAGTCCTCAGTGTCTTCACTCTCAAGTGCAATGACAAGAGCACCAAGGACTTCCACAACCTCTCTTCAAGCTGATTTAGCCAATAACAATGTCCAGTCCCATCAAGCACTACAGGGCAGGGTGAGCAATGGCTCCTACAAATCACCAGGCCACCAGGTCCCATCGTCCCCCACAGGGATGCCTAGGTCACCCTCTTATGGAGGCCCGAAAGCTGTCTCGTTTGTAAACACTGTGGAAATTACAGAGGTGCAATCAGTGGGAGCACAAAGGTACGTACTGCTTTCAGAGCTGCCAAGCAATGACAGCCTGCTTGCAACTGAGCACAGACATTTCCCAGGCGGCACAGCCCAGGTTACTTGTTCACTGTAGGCCAGTAAGGGTGGGACATTTGTGGGAGCTCTTCAGTTCGGTGACACCACAGAGCAACCATGTCATGACAAAACGTTTGTTGTAACTTGGACTAGAGGTTAAGTTGTAAAATTCATAGTGGTTTAATGTCTTAGCTGAACTGGATAATTATTTGCAAGATACAGGGCAAATTATCCCTGCTGTTACACACAAAAGGGTGGAGCTGTTTTAGTTTGCAGCCTAAACAGAGGCTGGACCCAGCGATTGCCTGGACACAGAAGCAAAGGTAGGATCATGGCACATGTGAGTGTACCCTACACTGAGGGACACGGTGGCTTAGGCAAGTCCTGGGAACTGTGCTTGTCATAGAGAGCTGCATATTTAGCTGTGACGACTGCCCCATAATGCAGAACTGGTGATAAAAGCAGAGGCTATCTTTCAGGTCGTCTTCCTTACTGTAAGAAAATGGGGAGCAAAGTGGTGTCTGAGCAAGATCTTCAGCTGCAGGTTCTCCATGCACTCTTCCTTCTGGAGACCTTGGAAAGGAAAGTCTGAGAAGCGCCATGTGATCCAGCTGAGGTTACAGTATTTCAGCCAAGTGAGGCCTGGAGGGCTAATCAGAAATATTTAGATTTTCTTTGCACCTGGCAATTACTGCAGTATGCTGTCATCTAGTTAAGGTCCCCAGTTTCTAACTCCTGCATTATCCAACATTTTAGGGAAAGTTATTGAAATGTGGGACAACTATTATTGTAGTTCTCCCAGAGTTTAGTGCCAGCACGTTTTTCCCCGGTGTTTCCAAGTGAATTGTATTTATTGAGATGATTTGTCTACTGGTGGAAGAACACTGAGCAGGCAGACAGCTATTATCCCCTCCTCACATGAATTAAAGAAATTAGTTTATTTCAGTAAAAGAAGACCTGTGGACTTTCTCTTGTCTCTCTGCCCTCTGTTTGAGCCCTGGACACATAAACTGCTGCTCTAGGAAAGATGCTAATATGAAAAGCTCATTGCATTTTCTCAGTCTATGTTTCTTGGTTATGCTGTGTCAGCTTGTTGGTCACACTGCTTTTACATTGTGTTTGTTTAAAATGTAGAGTCTGTAAATTTACTCCAGTTCATCTCTTCACAATAACAAAAAAACGCAAAGTCTGGCAGAAGTGCTCTAGCAATTAAAACAGCTACAGATCCCATTAGATATTAAAGAAAGTTGCAGACATTTGATACCAATGAAGAGGATCTTTTTTACTGAAATTTTTAAATCAAGTTGAGTATCTGGATTAAATATCTCAATAAATTTGTCCTTTTTACCTAGTGAAGTAAATCTGCCACAAGTACTCTCTGCTTTGTAAACCTAGCACATTTTGGTTTGCAGGCAGGAATATTCCCTTCTGGAAGGTATTTCAGTCCCAGTCCCACTGCTGCTGACATGAGCCAGTGCTTAAACTTCAGAGCGAGCCAAACCCAAGCAGACAAACATTCACTATGCAGGAGGAAGATGTGAGAATACAGCAGATCCTACTTGTTCTGGCAGTTCCAGAACGTACACAAGGTCTTTAGTAGGCTTTTATCCAGTTGCTTGGTGAATCTTGGAGATGAGGCACACTAAGTTTTAGTGTAATAGTCTAGATTTAAAAGATCTTTTGAGAGAAGCCATTTGCACCCTGGCAATATGTCTTAAGAAAGGAAATTATTTTAAAGAGTCCATCAGGAATATGGTCTTCAATTACCGGCATCCTAGTGTGCTTCCTGACTTGATTCAGTTTGTGTCTTCCGTCATTTACAAGATCTTCATTTCGGTTTTCCTATGTCTTTCAGAGATGAGCAACATAATTTTAATTTTGAATATTTAACTGGGAAGTGTTTTTTTCTGAGTATTATATTTCTAACTGTAAGAAAGACACAGTTTGGATTAAAGTCAGCAGTGAAGACAGTTATACCCTCCTGCTGATACTTGTGCAATTAGTTTGGTTTAACAAAGTATTTAAGCAAGTAGTTAAATGAACAAATGAGCAAATATTACTGGGGTCTGGTCCACTAAGCTAACGGGCAAAGAAATTCTCTCATTTCAGTGGCTTTTCATCAAGTTACTGGCTTCAACCAGATTGTTTCCATGCTTTAATATTTTTGCATGAGTGGGACTCGGTGAAATAGGGATAATTACTCATCCTCAATGAAACCATTCCATTATCATCCTTCAGTAACTAACACTGCATCTTTTGATATTTCTTTTGATGCAGGGATGACATGCAGTTGAAGACACCTCACAGTAAAATAAATGGACAGCCGAAAGGAATATCCAGGTTGGGTTCAACATCAAGTTCCCAGGGGACACCTGTCAGCCCTGCTAGACACTCAAATGTTAAGAAGGTGTCTGGAGTTGGTGGAACGACCTATGAAATTTCAGTGTAAAATAAAAATTAAATAAAAATAAAGAGCCATCCACTCAGCCAGCCATGAAGCTAGGAGCACTGTGAAGACTCAAATAACAACAAAGAAGGAGCAGCAGCAGTCGGCCACTCTCCTTTTCTTGTTTTGGGTTTGTTCTGTTTTCATCTCTATCTTTTGGCCAAAAACCAGCTGCAGCCTTATTCTTGAGGGAATAAAATTGTACAGTCCATCAGGACTCTTCATTAACCTGACGGATGGGAACTGGCTACCACCTAACACCACAACCACAGAGCGGATTTTGTTCATGCAAGAGAGTGCTAACGCCGTTATGCATCTGTCTGTCCAACAAACCCATTGTGTACCAGTTGTGCAGTGAACAAGTGAAATGTCCAGGATTGTTCAGTTTTTCCATGCCCATTCCTGCTTCTTCTGGCTGGTGGTGTGTCCATCAGGAGTCAGAGGCCAGCTGCTGTTTTCCTACTGAGAAGGAAAGCAGGCTCCCTGTGCTGGGCAGTCTGCGTGTATGAGAACTGCTCTGCATCTCCCAAGAACTGCAGGTCAAGTTCCTCCTCCTGGGCAGGAGCAGGGCAGGGGCACCCTGGGCAATGAATGCCGACTCGTCTTTAAAAGCCTCCCTGCTCCCCGATCATGGCTGGGTGCGGGAAAAAGGATAGCAACAGCTTCTCACTGTCTGCAATGTGCCTCCCCATGTGTGAAATCGTGTGTGTGCACCCGTGTGTTTGTTTCTCATGGAAAAGGACCGCAACACCAGTAAGGATCTTCCACTCTCACCTCTTGCTCCCTCTGGTTTTTAAAGGCTCCTCTGACTCCGAAACAAAACCAAGTGGATAAGAAAGGAAGTGTTTGGATGGGAACATGTTTTAAACAGTCGTCAGCTGCTTTCCCCGCACCCTCCTTATTACCTGTTGGATCTAGGCAATAACATGGTTTACTGCCTTGCCCTGGTGCCCTCTGTGTAATCCTGCAGCAGGGTTATCACGATCTGTTGAATTTACAGTGTGTGTAACTGAGCCAAGCATAAGTCTAAAGGATATAAATTTGCTGTCTGCCTAATGACTAGCACATTCCCTCTGGTCTTCAATACTGTTACACAAAGGATTTTTATGTTTGGTTTTTGAGTTTTCTTTCCCCTTGGGAACAACTTTTTAAAATTATATCTATCAAATCTATTTAACATTCTAAGGCTTCCTTTTCCTGTCTCGAGAAAACTACATTTACTTTCTGGATTTAAAGACAACTTTACTATAAAACAAACAAACAAAAAAACAACAAGAAAGAGTTACATTATTTTTGTCATAGATATCAGGACTCTGATAACTAATTTTGGGACAAATGTTTGTTTTTTTTTTGTTTTTTTCTTCTTCTTTCCTTATCTCCTTTTCCTTCCCATTTACTTACTATCAAAAGTACTGAGGTCTGGACCAATGCTAAATAGCCAGATCATGTGTGCAATTAAGAATATCCTGAGTGACTGTTGCCAAAGTCAGTAAAAATTTATCACTGAGCCAGTCAGCATATGAAACCTTGACTTTCCACCTGGTTCTCCTGGTGAATAATTTTGACTGGAGAGCTAAATTGGTTGTTTTTCAGGATATTTGTTTCAAGGCGCTAAGTCCTTTTCAGTCCTTGACTATAATGGAGAACTCTCCAGATATCTGGTAGCAATTCAGAGTGCATTGATAACATCCTACTTGTCTTCATGTATGTCAAGATTAATTATTCCAGAAGGCAAATGTTGACCTTAGTTTTGCCTGGTCAAAATTTATCTTTTGATTTGATAAATCTTGACATCCACTGCAATACATGCTTACTATATGTTCCTTTTGTATCACATAATTTTTGGAGAGGAAGATTGAAAAGAACATAAGAAAGTTAATTATCTCTATGTGGAAAGCTTGATGTTGTCTGAAGGGAGAAATCTACAAAGTGATGTGGCTGAAATAGGCCAGTTATCAGACAGTGAACTAGAAATCAGTGTGCATTTTATGACCTTGGTGATATTTTAAATGCCTACTATGGGGACATTACAGAGCAGAGAAGCAATAGTCCTTCTGTGCAGATTTGTTCACTGGCGTGTAGATTATTGCCTTTAGTTGGAGGCATACAGTGCCGGAAAGATGCTGGCAATCTGTATCAGGTACAGAGGGAGCAATATATATTAAAAGACTGGACAGGCTGGCTGATGAGAAGATTTAAAGGGCTAAAAAAATGTCACTGGCTAAGCAATGAAGTAGAAATTGAATATGATAATTTTACAAATATTAGTTAAAAAATATAAAACCAAAGGTAAATCATAGAAGTCAGAGGGTTGTCACTGGTTACCGATTGGTCTGCTTTTAGAGGGAGGAGAAAAGGTGACAGGGAAGGAGCAGTGGAATAGTCTTCCAAGGCAGAGTACTGGAGGCTACCTATTTTGGAGTCAAACCATATTCAGACAAGCGATTAGAGAAATTTCTGTAAGAGGTGAACCTGCAGGGGCAAGGGGCTAGACCAAATGGCCTTACAGATTTCTTCCATCCTTAACTGTTACTAATCTGCAACTCTGCCCTGATGTTAACTCCTCAGGAAGGTGCAGTACTTCCTCAAGGACTGGAATTCACTCTGGTGCGTAGAATAACACAAGACTTATCTGTTTTTAAAGTATCACGTATGCCTCTTGTGAGCGCTCAGAAAGAGGCGATGAGTGACACAGAATTTGGGTTAGTGATCTAGACAAGGGCACATTTTGTCATGTATTTTTGAATATGTACATGAAATTCATGCAGGCAAGGCTGAAAGTCCGTACCAATGTAATATTTGAGATTTGCATCCCAGTGATGCTTCACTTTAATCATTCTTCTCCTACATGTATAAAAGAAAAAGCTACTGAGGAACTTGAAGGGCCAAACAGCCTTTGAAGTTAACTACATTAGTTCATGAGAGAAGAATTTCTCAGCAAGACTAAACACAGTATTGTGTGTATAAAGCACTAATATCCAGGGTTATTTTTGAAATAGTTCACAAGGGGCAAGGGAGGAAAGAATGAATGCACTGTGTCATTACAGGTTCAAATGTAAGGCTTATATATTTTGTGAGTAGTTTTGGCCACAGTTGAGACACATCTGATACAGTAATAGGTTTACAATGGTACCAAAGTCTTTTTTTTTTTTTTTCCTTTTGAGGTTTGTATATAATTCAGTGCACATAGCCTGGAGTAAATTATTCAAATCTTCTGAAAGAATAATCTAAGTAGAACTGTTAACAGGAGATTGCATGCAGCAAATCCAGACTCATTTCCACTCAAGGCACTGAACCTACAGCTGTTTTCTCAGAAATGTAAGTGTCTGCTTCCACAGCTCCTATTGTGGGACTGGGGACCTACTTAGTACACGTAATTTTGGAGCAGAATCCAGCCCATGGTAAAGCATAGTTCTTCAAACAGTTTACAGATTAGCAGCAGAGTTTTTCTTCTGCTGAGATACTCAGTTTTTACAGACACTACAGGCCAAATCTTCAGGTGGTATAAATTGGTGCGGCTCCGCTGAAACGAGTGTAAGTGATGCTAATTTACAGTAGGTGGGGATCAGCCATGAAAATCCAGCACAAGTTAACACATATTATAAAGTAGGCTTCTTGATTTTGTCATGTTTATTTCGTATTTCAGAAGTCTTAAAACTTTTCAGCGTGTTTTTATTTTTAGCTGTGGATTGTATTACTTTTTTTTTAAGAACAGCAATAGTTTTTGTTTAGTTTATGCATCAATTTTCATTGCATATCGCGTTTTATTAGCCATTCATTCCCTGTTCATAAACTCCCATTTAGCCTCCAGGTTTTCATTGTAGTACAATCTGCCTTGAAAAGTTGGATCTCTGTATCTTTATTTGTATAATATATTGAGTATTATGAAATTAAATGTAACTTACTACATGGGTGGGAGAGAAAGGAAATATTTTTACTTGAAGCCTTAATATTTTCTTTTTTTACTGCTTTGTTTGTTGACCTCATAGGAAAGTCTGAATAGCAAAGACTTTGAAAATTTGGGCCAAATACTGCACTGATATATAACCAGCATTTGGCCCCCTATGTCAAAACTGGATGCAGACATAACCTGAAGTGAACAAGGGAAAATGCTTCAGGGTGGCATGTTTTCCTGAAGATCATTAATACAATCTGAAAGATGTGTCTGTAAGCAAGTACATTAAAGAAGTTCTCAAATCTTGAATTCTGAAGAAAGGTGATAGTGGGAACTGCCCAAATATTTTACATTTGCATTTTCTTTTTAAATTAAAACTAAACAAATGTACTTACGTAGTTTGGTTAAAGTCGGCTCAAAGGGTTGCACAGAGCTGTATTAGTAGCCATGTGCAGCAAATGAACTGTGTTGTGTTGCTGTTCTGAAATTGCTAACCAAGTGTAATGTCATGTCAACTTGGCCTAAGATAATCACCTCATGGGCGTTACAGCGGCCGTTCCTCAGATAATGCCTATTCTCCTATAAGCCTAATGTGGAAATTGCAATGTGGTTTTCTTTGGACTATATCTGTGGTCCAGACTAGATATATATATATATATTCAATTTTTATTTTATTTTTTATGTGGGAAAGACTAGGTCAAGGTTGCTGTCTCTGACAGTCTGGAAAGTTCATGTCGAACCGTTTTTATGGTCTGTATCTCACCTGTTCTGCCACCTTGAATTGTTGGAATGTATCCGTGCAGGCTTTGTGGAGCTCTGTCTGTAACCTTTTTTGTGGCTCTCGTAATACATATATATTTTTTAAACCTTTGAGTCACTTCAGTATTTTAAAGTGTCCGGTTTCCCTGGTGCGTTATGCCTGAAATGCTGAGTTGGTTCATTGGGTGCTGCCCCTTTTCACTTCCCCTTGTGCAAAACGTGAACTGAAACAGTACAGCTGGACAGGCCAGCTCCAGTGCAGAACCCCCAGGTGTCAAAACATTAAATGAAGGTGAAGTCTCATTTTCAAGGTGCTTTCAGTAGAGTAGAAAATATGCTGGCTCTTTGAAAGTGTGCCTCCTACTTGTGACCAATGGATCGTGCTTGTGAGGTCACAGTAAGTGGTTCATGGAACAACAGTAAATGAAGGGTTTTAGAGCGCTTTGTGTTCAAGTTGTGGGGGTTAATAGGAATCCTGTGCTCCAGCACAATTGGGAAAAGTTGCTACAGAGTAACTGTGGAAAAAATATTATATGTTTGTTGAAATGTTCTATCCAGGATGTCTGGATTTTTACATCCTAAAGATGCATAACTTTTAATCTATCTTCATCTGTCCATTCGTTGCTATTCTTTGAAAAATATGTTCATTTGATCTGCAAGACTGGCTTATAATTTGCACAGTTGCCAAACCCTCCTAATGGCAGCTGCTTCAGGATTTCTGATGCTGTAATTTGCATATGTAGGCTGATTATATCGAGCGACGTTCCATTCAAACATGTTCATTATAAATGCCAGTCATATTTGTGAGCTGTAGTGTCTTCACATGGCAGAGGTTACTTTATTACATGACCAGAAACTTAATTACCGGGCTCCATTGACACTGGCTAAATCGAACAGATTTATGTAAGGTCATGATCCGTTTTAGTACATTTTATTTACAGACATCTTGGCTTACAGAGATCTTGGCTTTCCTCTCTCTAAGTAATGGATAAATTATCCAAGTTGATATGCAGTTCTCCATTATTGTTATTTTTTATTCTGCAGGACAAGTTTCAGTTCACATTTTGGAACATAATAAGGAGAGACAAAGGAAACTATTTATACAGGTGAATATATCTTTTAAGAGAGAAGCAGTTATATAATAAATGGATTAGAGTTACTGTCAAAATAGGTTTTGTTCATCTTGTCACAATAACTTGAATTTTAAAGTAAGGTTTATTTTACAGCTGATATCTGTATAACCCTGAAACATTTTTAAAATGTCTTGGTTAGACATTTCAAATTATATGAAGAAATATGATCTACTTCCACAGATTAAAAACAGTCCTAGAGAAGTGATGGTACATTTTACAGTGCCTTATATATATGTGTATATATATATGTATATATAATGCCTATATGTATATAATGTATACATAACTGTGTACATATATTCAAGTAAAACTAGTTACAGGTGTCCCGATCTGGTGTATTTTAAATGGAACTGATCTGTGTTGATAGAAAAAAAAAACGGTTGTATCAGCAACAAAATACAAAACCAAAAATACTTATTAAAACATTAGCAAATAAAACAGACTGGAAACAGTGTTTCTGCCAGTGGTTATGTTCCATGCCATGGAAGACTGGTAGGTAGACCCACTGTTTTACGGGCTAATTCAGAGAAGAGAAAGCAGTGGTGGAGAAAGTGGAGAATGTATCAAAGAGCTTTCCCTTCACTCTGGCGCTGTGCCCTGATTTTCATACCTACACCCTCCCATTGTGCCTTGTCTCACGAATTTCCATTTTTCTTAAGCATCATTTCTCCTGAAGCTATGTAGGAGTTTGGTTATTGGCCCTGAAGAACCTGGTGGCCTGACCTGCTGCAACAAATGCTGTATTTCTGTGCTGCATCTTTCAAATACCTGCCACGAGGCTGTCTGAGCAGCAGGTGGTGACTCGGAGCATTCCTGGACTTGGAGCTGTCCATGAGAACTTGCAAGGGCATGAGGGATCCCTGAGAGCAGCCCAGTGCTCAGACCTGTAAAAGAGAGGTGCAGGAGGAGGGGATGGGCCGTCTTCCAGGGGAAGCCGAGAGCTTAGATGAACTGTCAGAAGTTGCTCAGACAAGGGGCCTTGAGAAACGCAGCTCTTGGCTGTGACAGCAAGAATCCTTCAGCCCCACTGGCACTGATCCACCAGTTCTTTCAAATGGGCAAACTGATTCCTTCCTCCGAGTGCGTTTTTTTTTTTTTTTTCTCCCAACAGGCATGCAATATTCTTGACACAAGCTAGGTCCAGCATGAGGACTTTTGCAAAGCTTCAGATATCGAGAGAGAGAGAAAAGTGACTTCTGCAGAAGAGACTCTCTCATGTCATGATTGTAAGGAAGATTATTCATGTTTCCTTTTTCTTACAAATTCTTTCATGCTATGTTGCCATCCAGTTTGCCTTTTAGGCATGCATCTTCTCTGTGGAATTTCAGACAGTAGTGTGACCATTTATTTGCAAGGAATATAAAATATAAAACATGTCCTATCCATACAGTATTGGATCTAAGAAATACCTGGTCTGAGATAGACATCACATGAGGAGTGTGGGCAGTGCTGAGCTTTACCAGTATTTCCAGACTGTGTTAAGACATTCTGCCTACCCAGAACTCATTAAGTAAAGTCATTCCTGCATTCTTGGGCACAGGGCAGCTTGACAAAGCTACGTGGCCAGAAGTGCACAACATGACTCTTACAGTTGTACTTAAGTAATTTGAAAGCCTTTCTTTCAGCAAACTACAAGATATCTGCCATGTAAAATCCATAAGTCCATACACTCTATCATGCAGTTTATTTCACACCGTTAAGCTCCCAGCCTCCATGTAGGGTTTGTACTATCAATCTATTTCCCCATATATAAGGAGGGTATAAAGAGGATTTTCAAGGATGTGTTTGAGCATTGTCTCTGTGTGAAACCCTTCCACTGAAGTCTGTAGTAACTGAGAGAAATGATGGGGAGGATTTGTCTGATTAGGTGCGGAAAGGGCAATGGCTAGAACACTTTAAGGGAAAATGTATCCTTCCATACAAATGTTTGGAACCAAAGGATGCCCATGAGTTTGGGTTCAACAAATCATTTCGTTACACACAGTCAGGAGTAGGGACTCAATGTAGGACCTTCAACATCAAAATCACAACCTTTGAATACTTGAGATGAACACCTAAAATGAGAATTCCTGTTTTCATAGTGTCACAGTAACACATTAATCTCATGAACGCTGTGCCTTGCTCACACTGAAATCTTAACTTCCCTAAAATCTACGATAGTTTTTCTGTTAATGTTAGTGGAGCTTCATTATGCCCAACTTGCCATTAGGAGTGACATCCATGGGGTTTAGCTCACCGCTACAGTTCATTGTCAATAGGACTTCAAGTCTCTAACTGGTTTTCCCCAACAAGAAACAATGGGGAAAGTGGTATTTCATATATGTCCCATTTTTTTGGACAACTCGATTTTAAAGCAGCTTCTCTCCCTACTACACAGTCTTCATGCAGGATCTTTTGAGAGCAGCCAGCAAGGAGGAATTAGGGCATACTAGTGGAGCACCAAAGTGGTATGCTTCTTCCTTCTGGCTTGTCCTTTCACACAGTGTGCAGGTAAGTGGCTCCTAGGCAGTGGTTTCTTCCTGCATCCGCAGCTTGAATGGATATGAGGTGGATGGATCCTGTGTGTGTCGTTTGCAAAGCACACCTACCATGGAGCATATGTTTCAAAAGCCTATTTCAGCCATGTAAGTGCAGAGCATGTGGGGATCTTTGGATGAGATAACCATGAAAGTTCATAAAATGGCATTATAATCTGGTTCTAATCCTGGGCACAGGTGGTTTAGCAGGAATATAGCTTTACAGTATTCAACTTTTTTTTTTTTTTTCCAGTACAGTCATTTGAACAGATGGTAAAAGGTTTTTTTTTGTTGTTGTTTGTGTGTGTGTGTTTGTGTGTGTGTGTTTAATAAATACAAACCAATGCTATTTTTTCTTAGGAAAAACTCACCTTGTAGAAACTGCAGTGTCTGGTAAAATTCGGTGAGTAACAGCATGATCCTATTTTTGCAGCCCGAGTGTTAGGAATCCATCTGGCCCCAGGATCGGCCCTCATTTCTCACAGAAAGATGTCTAAAATAATAGATGGAAAAACAAGGAAGTAAGTACTTATAAATAGGTGTTGGTTATGACTAATTTTCAGACTCACTATGACAACATGCAGATGAACTGCTGTGTTCTTGGCCACAATCTTCTGTATCAAGAGGCACATGCTTTGTACTGCTATCTTGTTGGCAGTTTCCCAGTGTTAAGCTGTGATTTGCAGTAAGAGACATACCAGTTAGATGTTCAGTTGGAAACATGGTCTAAAATTAAGGCACAGGAAAGGGGCATCAGCCAGTTTGGCACTGGTTCCTGCCTCCACTACAAATTACTGCTGGACTTGTACATCTTCCTGTGCCTCCTCGCTCCATGTCAGATAGGGATGTGACTTCTTGGCCTCACAAATGTGTTGTGACTGTCCATGAGAGTCTCAAATCCTATCATTCTGCAATCAGCTGTGTGGCTGGAGCCAAGCAGATGCATCCCACAGGCATCCAGGAGCAATAGGGCAGATTTGGGGCATATTTAGCCTCAAATGAAAGTATCATTTCAGGTCATGTTCCTGGGGAGGAAGTTTTTGTGTGTTTGTGTGATGTGTGTTGCTGACAGTAGTCTTGGTCTTTTGCACTGACTTTGAAAGGCTGTTTTAGTAAAGATATGATAGAAATTTCAGCCTTGATCCCTCCTTTGACCTCCTGCATATCTCCTCATAATCCAAACCCTCTTCATAATACCCACACAGCACCATCCTCATTCCAAGAGACCATATGCCTGGTTGCCTCAAGCAATTCAACTTTTCCATGCCTGCTTATTGGGATAGTTATACACATAAATAGTAATTAAAATTACTGAGCAGAAATATAGTAAAACAGCTGTAGGTTGGGAGTGACCTTAAAAAGGTCACCATGAGAAAACTCAATAATTTCTGTCTTTCTTGTATCTATTTTATTGCATAGAAATACATCTATATTTACCTACAGCACTGCATTCGTAGCACATGAAGATTATTAAAGAAGGAATAACATTGCCTGATGGTGCAAAAAATAGTGTCTTTGCTAGTATGGTGGTTTAACATGTGAAAACAAAAATAGCAGGAGTTTATTTAACTGTAAAGGCAAATCAAATATATTTATTTTCACTTATATTAAAGCAGAGAATGGCTACATTTTTCAAAACATGTAAAACCTCACAAGAAAATATACTATGATAGTTTACTATGTTTCTCCTTCTTTTTTAATTCAGAGTTTATAAAACTATTCTTTATGACTATTTTACTTTTCATTTATTTTGAAACCTTTTTTTCTTGTGTTAAATCTACAAGAATTAGGTATCTGTACAGACTCTTTTTTTATACATATCTAAAGCCCTGGGTGCTGCAGAACTTCATTGCAGTACTGTGCCACAAATGATGGAGAGAGTCCTTCAGGGTACAAAAGACTTCAGGTGTGCTATCCCCCCATATTTATATATATGCACATATATATATTTATATATATATATGTTTATATATATGTGCATATATCCACAGAGATTTCCAAACAATGGGCTCATGACCAGAAGGAACCTGAGCATCCTGCCCTTGGATGGAGTCGTCAGACAACTTGTACACTCAGAAAAACTTTGCCCACCTGAGGATGAGACCTGCAGTGTTTTTCTAGTCTTTCTAGGTCCAGTGTGTCTGTGCGTCCTCCTAGCTCAAACACCAGGCGGTTTAAGCAGTGAGCTCTTCTGTGGTATCTGCACATGGCAGGGATGAGGCAGACCTAGGAACCAATGACAATTTGTGTTTGCAGCTGTGCCACTGACTCACTCTGTCACCTCGGGAAAGTCACGTCACGCTCAGCAGCTGATATTCCAGTATGACACAGAAGTTGAGATCCCTGGATTTTCATTGCTAAATGACTTGCCTTTCTGAGTCTGGGGCCAGATTGGAAGCAGTTGGCAACATGGCATTGCTTGGTAGAGGCTTTTGGTTGAAGGCATGGACACCGTCTTGTGGCAGAGGTGTGGAGCTTCAGAGGGGCTTTTTCACAATCAGGTCAAAAAAGGAAAAAAAAAAATAAAAAAGGTAATATAAAAGGGAAAAGAAGTATCTTAAGCTGACTTGAAGGGAAATAGATGGTGTCAAAAGAGAACAAAGAGTAGTTGGGTTTATTGCTGGCAAGAAATACTTCCTCCAGTCACTATCATCACGAAGGATTGTCTGGGTAAGGCAGCATGGTGTTAAGTACATAGAAGGTCCCTTCTTCCTGCTCCAGGTGGATTCCCATCGTTAGGTTTCAGAATGTCAGAAGGTTATAATGTAGGCAGGGCCTTGACACGGGCAGGGGTATAAGGCAGAGCAACAGCATAAATCTTCAGAGCCCTTTAACACGTTTCACTGGGTACAGAAGGCAAGCTGGCAAGAAGACGTACAAATGGAGCTCTGTCCTCACAGGATAGCCATTAGTTTTTGACAATTCCAAATTGCTCTGTATTTATCTTTGAGGGATACTTTTAGTATAAAATTTATTATTTTTTTAATTATTTTAAGCAGCAACCAGTCTCACAATGCCATGTGTCTGTCAACTGAACCATTAAAAACAAACAAACAAACAAACAACAAACAAACAAACAAACAAAAAAACATAAAGATGCTTTGTAAAAGTACTTCCCCTTCCCAAGTTGTTGAAGTTGTCGTGAAGGCAACATTTGTAATTTTCTAGGCCAATTTGCAGCTTAAAGTTATGTTTTACATGACATTAATTTTGTTACAAAATATAAATTAAATCTGAAGTTACAGTAAATTGCTTATTACTGTTCATTTTGCAGCTATATAAAGTCACACAGGATCTGAAATCCAGATTTAAAAAAAAATATTAAAGAAGTATACTGTGTATTTCAGCTATAGCTACAGCAATGGCTGATGTATGTAGATTTTGCTAATATTTTAAAAAGTGTGCTGCATAAATTCCTACTAATAGCAACAATTATTTTAGCTAAAGAAACCATTTTAAAGTAGTTTTCATACATGTACGTTCCTTCTATTTGAAGCAAAGTCACTGGTAAGTGACACCAGGTTATAACAGTAAAATGCTAGTGGTAAATCAGAATAGAAATACAATTCTCTTCAGAGTTTCTCTCTGAAACTCCTCCCATCAAGAACTCTCTCTTGAAATTGGTTGGTTTAAATGATGTAAAACTATGAATGCCATGGAGGAAGCAAGCAAGGAATGAGTATTCTCTGTTTCCCACAGCACAAGAAGTAGTGAGCACTACAAGAAATCACCAAAAAGCAGAATGGAAACACAAGGCAGAACCTTTTAAAGAAAATAGATTAATTACCACAGGATGTTGTGAAAACCATATCACTGGATGAGAAAAGCAGCAAAGGTATCCTCTAGTGCAGCATTAATGCTGCTGTTGTTCCTTGCAATCTCCTGCAGAGGCTGTGAAAGCGATGCTCTCTTTAGTCGAGGCTGTTGATTTTTGAAGCCTAGTTCCTTGGGTGCTCCATGACAGCCTAATTACATGCTCAAGAACAAATTAATCACTTCAGTCCACGACTCAGGACTTTGATAACTTAAACTGATATATTGGTCGGACTAGCTCTGTGCAGAGGGCTGATTTTCTCCTGAGGTTCCCTTAAAACCCCAAGGATTTTATGAATACATTAGCAGAAATTTGATCAAGTGAGCTAAGTAACATCATCTGGAAGGGAGAAAAAGCCACCAGGCCATTTTGCCTGATTTACAGACAAAACACAACCACCACAATAATTTACTTGGAGTGAGCCCAGCTTGCTCCCAGAAGTCTTAATGACTGCTTGGAACTGAGCACGTGCCAGGGAGAAATGGTTAATCCTGCCGTGGCGGGTTGCACATCTGGCCATGGGATTGGCATATACATCCCATCATGTGAAGAGTGCCTGTCCGGTCATATGTGAGAGTGGGCTAACAATATACAGGATCCTCGTTGGGCTGCTTAATGTCTTGTTTAGTCCATATCAGCAGAGACAAGGGACACCTTTGGCACCCTATTGTAAGTCTCAGCTAGCAAAGACATTCAGAAACAGACTTAGTTTGAAGCCAGGTGGCCACTTCTGACACTGGGATATGTCTGGCAAATACTGTACAGAATTTCCACATCACTACACACACACACTATTTACGTATATATGTATGTGTGTAGATATGTATAATAAGAACCACAGCCTTTTAATTGTGTGTGTGCTGTGATTCATCAGCAGCAATAGCTTTTGGCAGGGACATAATTTCAAATCTCCTGCTGAGGATGCCTGCCAAAACATTGTTGGATAGAGATAGGATGAAGAAAGTTATTTATAAATGGGGATAATTAGGTTCTGCACTTAATAGTATTGGGAATGAGACAGAAAGACAATGTGTAGTAATGAGCATTTGTAATATGAGAAGATGCTCTCCATGATTTTCTCCTTGTTGATAAAAAAATAAATAAATCACAACCCAAAACCTCAGGTGAAATAAAATCAGTATGTGCTACTCCCAGGTAGGAGATTTAGATCTGGGGTGGGGATGTTATGCTGTAGGACAGGTCTCAACTATACTTATGCAAGTTTGGAATAATTCCACAAGATTCAGCTGAACTATTCCAGGTGCTGACTGCTCTAACAGATTAGACTCTCAGTCCTGACCTTTGCATTTTGTGTTTAGGCAAAAATAAACCCTGAACAGACACAGGAACAGTACTAATTCTTATTTGGAACTGATGGCTCTCAGCCACACCATCAGGAAACAGCACTGCTCAGTGATGAGCTTATTTCTATCAGGAGAGGAAAGGCTATTTCTGTGTCATCAGTCACACAGATGTACATTACGTTCATTTTTCTTGAGAAATACGGTCACTGGGACAAATTCACCTTTCTGTCAGTATTCTTTCTCCCTAGAGCTGTAAGCCCAATGAACACAGCCTGAAATTCATCCACATCGGCTCTATGTTCAGACAGTCTGTGGAGCTCCCAGAACAATGCTGTCAGGCTGTTTCTCACTAAATGAAGAGAATAGCAATTAATATTTCAGAATTCCCTGCTCCTAGTTTTGCACCAAGGTTACTAGGTGGTGCAACTAATCTGTAATGAGACACTTAAGCAAACATCTGTATTTAAACAATTGAATGTCCCATTAATTCATCTTAATTCTCAAGCTATATGGACTGATCATTGTATGCTTGGGATTTTTAAGGCCCCTAGCTCCTGAAGTCACAGTAAGCACCTATTTATGGGATTTTCTGAGCTTTCATGAGAGGTGAAGAAGAAAAAAATACTCTTCAGCATTACAGAGAAAAGATTGAAATGCAAAAATACCACCTCTGCAAAAACATCCAAACCTGAAAAAAATGTGTGTCAAGATCATTATTTCTTCTGCAAAAGTGATTTTTTAGACAAGGCAGGCACACTCTAAGAAAGTACTTTGCTTTGTATGGGTCTTAGTGTCTCTAAAAATGGGGGTGGTGTTCAGAAAGCTCGTCTAGCAAGAACCCAGCAACAGCTGCTATTTCTGCCGTGTCACCAGCAGAGAATGACACGTATGTAGCTGAATATCTTGCAGGTTCTCCAGACTTGCTGTTAGCATCACTTCACCAAAAAACTATTTCATCCCGCTTTTTTTTTTTTTTTCCCTACATAGCCTCAGTGGGGCTTGTATGTGAAAACACTGCATTTAAATGCTTGTTTCCAAAGAGGAACAGCAGGGTTTAGACAGTCTGTGCCAAGCTCATTGCAAGGGTGATTTTTTTGAAGTAAAGCAGGGATGATGTGAACCAGCTCCTGACAGAGAGGAACATTTTGCAACATGCATTTTGAGAGGACTAGAATTTTGCCATTGTATTTTCTGTAAAGCATTAAGGGATGATTAAAACTGGAAATCCCCTAAACTGTGTAATTGTGTACCTCTCAGCATCTGGTTTTGCAAGCAGAGTGCTCTCTTTCCTGCTAAGTGAAGGTCACAGATCAGGTTTTATAATTGCTTGTCAATGCACCTGAAATCAGAGCAGGGTTTAGGGCCTAGACTGTGGTGCCTAAACACTGACGCTTGGTAGAGACTCACACTATCAAATGCAACAGAAGCCAACCCTGAAATTCATAGCAACTCCAAATTCATTGTTTTCTAAAACAGGAAAAAAAAGTAAAGAAATTGGTTGTAAAGAGAGATTAGTTGAACTCTGCAAAAGCAGCAAGTGCTGACTCTCACTTGCTAATCAGGATTAAGAAAAATGCCTGAACGGTGTGCCATTGTTGTGAGCTATCAACAGCACCTGTGCTTCGTTAGCAAAGTAAGTTTAGTGTTAGCTAAGACAAAAAGGCTGGGGGGGAGAGCTGTTCTTGAGGCAATAATATCAAATCCCTTTCTGTTTCCTGGATAGTGATTACAGTAAAATACTCTGCTTATGTTTCCATTCCTTAGACCATCTGTTTCCAATTAAACCCTTCTGGCATGATACATCGTTATTTATTAGAGCATTACATTTAGATAATGCAGTGTTAGTATTTTTGTTATAAACCCTCAGTTTCGTGAACATTTTTTTCAGGGGCAGAACTGGATGTTTGCTTAATGGAAAGTCTAGAGACTGTATTAATATAACTAATTTACCAGGTCAGAAATGACTTTTTTTTTTTTTTTTTTTAATAGTCTTTCCTTTCACAAATACACTTAGGTGTGTCTTCTGATTTGATTTGTAACTGTGTGTTTGGTAGACTGAAGTGTTCTGGTTTTAAATGCCTAAAAGCTAAGTCACTGAGAAGGACTTGTTGATAAGTGCCTAAATCTGAAAACACAAAAGTGTCTGCTCAACTTTTGTAATAAGAAAAACTCTTTAATTTTCTGTATGTGATGGGGTGACATCAAAAAATCTGCAACACCCCATTCAAGGCACTTACCCTTGTGATTCTAGAGCA